TAGATTGTGTGTGTGTGTGTGTGTGTGTGTGTGTTATGTAATTTTATATATATTGATTAAAATAAATACATTTTTCAACTGATTTCAACAAAACTTAACAGGACTATTAAAATTACCTTGTGGTTGTGAATAAAAAAGCGCCCAAAATGGAAAAAATATAATTGTTTTTAAAAAAATCAATTTGAAAACACGATTAAGAGACATCGTGAAAATGGAAGAAGGACAACTCACATCGGGTTGTTTAAATGTGGGTTCATAATAAATATGGGAGCGGATTTTATATTTTTCAGCAGATAAAACAAAACTCACTTTTTTTTTATTTTGGGCAGGTAGTGTTTATTTATTTCTTGCACTTTTTTTGTTTATTTTTAAAATTCAGAATGCTTTAAAAAATTCCATTTTAACAAGACAATTATTTATAATAAAATTATATTCAATCGAGAGACAGTTTAACGATTGAAAAACAATGTTTTTGTTTGAGTTTGGGTTTGACCAATAAAAAAAAATAAAAAAAAAAAACTAATTAAGAAATGCGTGTCCGTCAATTTTAAACAATAATCTTTTGTCAATTTTGTTTTTCAGTTTTTTATGATGGTGGATACTTAATTAAAGTTCAGTTTTATCTTTATTTTATATCCCTAAAGCAATGGGGGTTTACTGCTTATTATATATATATATATATATATATATATATATATATATATATATATATATATAAATATATATTTAATTGATCAGATTCCAAATTTTAAAAGTCTCAAGTAAATTTAAAATTGCACACATTTTTTATTGCACACCTTTTTTATATATATATATATATATATATATATATATATATATATATATATATTATGTCCATTCAAAAATATAAGTTATGTTAGTTTGCCTCTGAGTGTTGATTTCAGTGTTCACTTTTTTATATTTATATTGATATAACTCTATCTCTGATATTGAGCACTTCATCCCATAAATATAGAAAGGAAAAACTATATTTTAAATATATATATATATATAAATATATATATATCAATATATATATTTATATATATGAAAAATTCCATTTAACTTTAAAAAATACTATACTATAAAATGTGCTCAATACAGAGTAATGTTAATTTATTCTGAGCATTATCAACTAATAAAATAAAAAATAAAAACTTTTTATTTAATTTAATTTATTTGTGATTTAAATAGAAATGGGTTTCAGAAAAAACCTTTTATTGGAGGATATAACATTTATTTTTGATAAATTTGTAGGATTGTTGAATTAAATATGGCTTTTTTTTTTAAAGAAAAATATATTTAAACCAATAATTTCGATTAAATTATATATAAATATATATATATATATATATATATATATATATTTTATATATATATATATATAATATATATATATGGAGAGAGATAGATAGATAGATAGATTAGGGGTAGAACTGCAAAATTGTCCAAATCGTTCAAAAAGCATGTGGAAGATAAGTGTCTAAATTGAAAAAATGAGAAATCCAAAATTCACTAAAAATATTGAGTTTCTTTTTTTGCAGATTTTCAGATAAGACGTTTAGTCATCTTGGTACCATTTGTCCTAAGAATCACTGAAAAATCCCTTTGAGTTTTTTTCAGCTAGAAAAAGAACAGATGAAAATCCGTTTTGTGTTATCCCTATTTGGTCTTACCAACTGAGCAATGGTGAGAGGAAAAAGTTCATTTAGGCCTTCAGTAATGTTATCAACATTAATAAATTCAAAGTCCATTCACGAACCATCAAGAGAACGTAGAATTGACCAGAAAGTAAGAGGGATTTCAACTTAGATCTAAATACATTCTTATTTTTCAAAGAAAGGTCCAGTAGTGTCATGAAAACCTCGGAGAATTGCATCCTGATATTTTTAATCATTTCTAAGATTTTTTTTTCAAATCTTTAATCTAACAATTAGACAATTTTGCTGGTACACGAATTGGACATTTTTTTGTCCTCGGAATATATATATATATATATATATATATATATATATATATATATATATATATATATGTGTTGTTGTGTGTGTGTGTGTGTGTGTGAAGAAAATTGTTTCCTGTGCAATATTTATGGGATAATTTTCATTTAATATCAGAGAAAAAAGTATATAAATATGAATATAAAAGTGAACATTTAAATCACGGAACAAAATTAAAAAGAGGTGACCTCATTTTTTTCCTGCTGGACGCAATCGTCTGGATGCAATCGTCAGGGCGCCTGACGATTGCGTCTAGCATAAAACATCCTGTCGCCTCTGAAATGAATTCAATGTTCACTTTATTTATATATATATATATATATATATATATATATATATATATATATACAGATTAAGAATTTCTAAACAAAGTCCGACAATTTATTAAAAAATTTATAATATATATATATATATATATATATAAGTAACGAAAATGTTGGTAATCTGTATGGATAATCCCAAGAAGGATGGAATACTGAGAGCTCAATTTTAATTCAGAGCGAATAGTTTAATTTAAGAAAAACAGACCACTTTCGGGCTCCATTTGTAATAATTTATTTCAACAAAGAATTTTATTTTTCAGACTTCACTTACAAAAAGTGAAACGAAAAATGAATTTAAAATTTGCACTTTTTACGGTCAGTATTAAGCTTATATAAGTTGACATAGAGGGTGGTGAGGAATGGTATGAGAGATATGGTCGAGTTTAGAGAGGGAAGGGAGAGTTTTAAAATATATTTTTATATTTTTTTTATTATAATATATAATATATGAGGAATATAGGTAAGGATCAGATATTTATATATATAGGTATATATATATATTTTAGAGCTTATAAATATGTAATTATGTATCTGTCTATGCAAACAGGTGTGCATATGTTTGTAGGGGTCAGCATACATTAAATATGTGCATTGATGCATTTAATTGTATATGTATTATTATACATATAGTATATTTACGTGTCTGTAAGATATTGACTTTCAGATGTGTATATTATTCGATATATATGTATATGTGTGTTGTAAGAAAGAGAGAAACGAAACTGGAAGAAGATATACGTCTGTTTGATGAATGAGTTATTTCCCACTGGTGCCATGCCTCGCTGTTGGAGCCCTTCGAATCCTGATCTTCCAATCATGCAGTCAGTCAGGTTCTAAGCAGTTGATGAAACCCTGTCAACCTCCGTAATATTCCTAAATTTGCCTTGGGTAAGATAAGCTTATTAAATTTCTATAAGCTGACTCTGATGCCACGTTATATGCTGTCGTCCCATAAGTAATCTACGAAATTCGGTTCGATTTGGTTTGGTTTCTTTTATGGCATATCAACCTCAATGGGTGATTTGATGCCGACAAGATTTTTTATTGCTGGGAATATTTTTGTTCAAAAAAGTATCGCTGGTAATACAAGGTGTCCAGAAAGTTCGTGTGCACTTTAAGACATTTACACCTTTATTTGTATTTGTGATAGAAATAATCTGTAAAAAATGTTATAAAGTTTAATGTACCTAGTTTTAAATATACCTAAAATAACTAATGTGATTTCAGGCATTACTATAAATTAGTTGGCAAATATTTTCCGTGAACTACAAAATCTTATTACCCTTTGAATTGTTAATGATGGAGGACGTGTGGAAACTTAAATAAAATTTCAATAAAACCCTAAAAAATATAGATTTACTTCTTTCAAATCCTTTTTTACAAATTATTTCTATCGCAAATACAAATAAAGTTATATTTTTTAAAGTGCACACAAACTTTATGGACACCCTGTATTTTTTTTTACAAAATGTATTGCTAGCTTCCGGAGCAAATAATTAGGTTATTGGAGAAGCTTCAGGGTATTTTCCCTCCTCATATAAATATTGAGTGCAAGGCAATAAAGCCACTAAGACGCAAAGGATTACTAAGTGTTAGAGAATATGAAAAAACTAATATTAAGCAGAAAGGACAATAATATAACGAAAACAAAAAGACAGAAGATAATGATTGCTATTGCATTCAAATTTCTGAAGGTCAAAGTTGACTGGGAAGCAAGAAGCCGGAAGTGAGTTCCACAAGCGACAGAAAAAGAAATGGTAGCATAGAACTTACAGTTATATCTAACTATTTCAAATATAAAATGATGAGATAATTTTGGTTAGTTGATTTTGAGATGGGCAGTTTTCTTTTTGTTGTTTTTTTAGATACAGTGTAACAGAAGATGTAGGAAAGGCAAAGTTAATATTTGGTTTTGTTTCTTAAGTGAATTATATTTATGTTAGACTTTCTTTGGTTTATCTACAATTTAAGCTAATGTAAATAGAGAAAACCCGTCACACAAATAAGCATGTTGTAGCGAAGTGGTGGCGTGCGAAAGCGGTTGCATAGTGGAAAATGATAAGCGAGGTTAAACGATTTTTAAATCTATCAAGAATGTGAATCAATAATTATTCTAATTTGAATCTTGTAAAAGAAAAAGCATGCTAGAAGGTAACTGACGATGAAATAATCTGATCAGTTTTGCAGCATCTATAGCAATAGTTTGTATATATGAGTGCATTTTCAGAAGCTTGTAGATCAGGATTTTAAAACAGATTGATAGATACGCTCTCCCGAGCCACGCTCTCCCGAGACACGCTCTATTTAACTGAGCCATGCACTCCTGAGCCATATAAACCATCCATGTTATGATTTCTAATGAGCCATTATCTCCCTGAGCCATGCACTCCCGAGCCATGATCTTTTTGAGCCATGATCTCCCAAGCCATGATCTCCTGAGCCATTATCTCCCGAGCCATGCTCTTCTGAGCCATTAATCCCAAGCCATTATCTCCTGAGCCATGAGCCATCCTTCCTGAGCCATGCTCTCCAGAGAGCCATGATCTCCTGAGCTTTCCTGATTATCTCCCGAGCCATGCTCTTTCATGATCTCACGAGCCAGCCATTATCTCCTGAGCCATGCTCTCCTGAGCCATTATCTCTAACCATGCCATTCCTGAGCCATTTTCTCTGAGCC